CTTGGGATTTTCTTTCAGGTTGGAGGCCAGTCTCCTTTCGAAGTCTTTGCGCAGGTTTCGGGTGAGTCGCCTGAGGTCGTTTTTGCAGCGAACGTACCTTGCATGACTGATGTCGTCCATTTCTCGAGTGTAAGCGGCCCAGAGCTTCTTTTTCCTGTTCTTTAGCCTCAAGGCTTCCCTGTTTATGTAGATGCTTCTGTTTTTCCTTGGACACGCTTTGGGGACGCATGCGTTCACCAGGTGGGCTAACTCGGTCTTGAAGGTGTCGTAGCGTTCTTGCATATCCATATGCATTTCATCACGCCACTGTCTCCGTCTGATCAGGTTGTTAAGCCGTAGATAGTTGCCCTTGTTAAAGTTGAGTCGTCCCTCCTTCACTACCTCAGGCTGCATGTAGCAGCACACCTCAAATTGTAGTAACATGTGGTCACTGTTGCCAATAGGTGGGTGATAAGCAAGGTTGGTCACCAGGCCTTCTTCGTTGGAGAGGATGATATCCAGGCTGCTTGGTCTCTCGCCAGCACGGTATCTTGTGGCTTTGGTTACGTGCTGGGTGAGGCCGCATTCCTGTACGCCCTCAACAAACCTTTTGGTGTAGTGACCATCAGGAGCGTGGGAGAAGTGATCGTTCCAGTCGATCTGGGGCATATTCACATCACCCGCAATCACTATGTGGGAGAACTTTTGGGAAACAACAGTTTTCAGCAGAGATATTAGGTTGTCAGTTGAGGTGTTTCCGTCACTGGATGGGCTTCTGTACAGACATCCTATGAGCAGCTGGTCAGCACCTAGCAAAGGTAGCTTGACCCACAGCTGTTCTTCATAAGAGCAGGCTGGGAAAGACACCTCTGTAGCCTGCCACTTTGCACTGACAAATATGCAGATGCCTCGTGCGCCCCCCTGTCCCAGTTTATCCTTGACAGGGTCAAAGTTCAGGAACATGGTATAGTTTGGAAGGGCCATGGTTGCAGGTTGCATTGGATGGCTCTGGGCTTTTGGGATGACCTCACACAAAAGTATCAGATCAGGCTCGTTGTTTGAAATGAACATGGCCAGGTCCTCCCTCTTGTTTAAGTATTGGTCAATGTTTGTGTACAGAATTGTTAGTTTCCTTCGACCACTTCTCTCCATTTCATCTAGTCATTTGTGATGGGAGATCGAAGAGGGTTGTCCAGAACTCTGCTGGACAGGTCTGTCTTCATCTCGTCTTGCCAGATTCCCACGACTTTCATTTCCCAGAGTGGGGGGCTGATCTGCCTGGGTTCTTTCTGTTCGTCTCTTTTCATGTGGGATAGGAACAATCCTACCATGTCTGATCCAGATGTGCTCCTCTCCCGAGGCCTTCCTCCTTGCCAGTTCATTCCGCAGCTGTCTTCCCTTTTCCCTCTCCTTCCAGGTGAGATCAGGCGAGATGAAGATATTACTCCAGGCGGAGTCTCTCAGTGAAGCAGCAGATTTCAGGATCTCGAGCTTATCATTCATGTTGGCAAGTGTGACTATCAAGAGTCTCGGCTTGCCATCAGTCGGTTTGCCGACTCTGAATGTTTTTGTAGTCTCCACCATGAGCTTCAGACCCTCCTTTATTATTTCCTTGAATCTGCTACTGTCCTGTTCAGCCTTCTCAGAGAACGACAATCCTTCTGGTTCCTGTAGATTGTGCACGACAACATTGAGCAACAGGTCACCACGAGCAGCCCTGTCCTTCATGCTCATCAGGTCCAGCTTCCTTAGCCTGTCCTCATAAGAAAGATTTCTGATTTCTCGAACGAGTTTGGTTGCTCTCCTCTGAATCTTCTCCAACTTCAGTATATCCTGGGCCATATGGGGTCCCACTGTTGGCAAACAGTAGTCCATGAATGGTCGAACGTAAGTAGTGTAGAGAGCCTTGAAGTTTTCAGTGGTGAGACGACTGGAAGTCATCTTGAGTAATCTCAGCGCTACCATGGCTTTCTTAGCTGCTGCGTCACAGTGAGCAGTGGCCTTCAGGTCCTTTGAAATGATGATACCAAGATCACGTTCAAGATCAGTCTTCTTTAGTATCAGATGCTTAAATTCGTTTATCATTATAGATCATTCATATTATTTTGGCATGATTTATTTCCCAAATCCGTTACACCTTAGGTAGGTAACGGATTTGGGAAAACTAAATGCGTATTTAAAAAAAAACTATATGCGACCACATTTACCTGTAGGTACAGGTCTCGCGGTTTTCATTTTTAGCGGTAGGTTTTGCACCTAGAAATTTAAGTGTAATTCAGGCTATATCTCCGTCGTCTGAAGCTTAAAAATGTGGAAGAAGCGATCGACTTGTTGGTTCACAAGCCGGCCATGATTGTGTAAAATGGTTTCATCGTAGATCGATTAGTTTCTGACTTCTGAGATATAACCGGAATTGTAAAAGTGCAAAACCTACTGCTTAATCTCGCGAGAGCCGTGCCTTACCTTCAAGGTGCTTGGGTTAAAAAAGGCCAGAATGTCATACATCTTGTTGCTTCCAGTGTTTGTCCAGTCGCACCTTACACTGGTTTACAGTTCAGTTGGGCAAACTAGACCTTTGGAATCAAAATATGGAGGCATCAAAAGATTGATTCCTTATGACCATATTTGGGCATAAATGCAGACCATTTCTAACTTACCAATCACATAAAAATAAGAGAGTGTTTCAAGAAGGAGCATGCCTGATCTTGAACAGAAATGCTGGAACTATCTCCTAAGCAAAATAATATTAATATTGCTCCTATCATAACAATTTGAATAGGTAGTTAAAGGCAATCAAGGAATTGATTCACTTGAAACAGATAATCATAATATTGATTCCCCATCAGCTGGCTAATCATTATTTTGATTCACAGGTAATGTTTTTTTTGTGTGTGTATTTGCCTTCAAACGATAATCAAATCCACAATTGGATCAACACGATACTTCTATATCTATGTATAGGCGAAAGGAAAAAATAACACATCACAATCGCCGAGAAAAAAATGTAAAAAATACGAGCAAATATTTTCATTGCTGACACACATTGAGATACGGCTATATGCAGGCGTCTGGATGTGTTAGTGTGTGTTCGTGTTATGAGTGTTCGTTTGCGTATTTTTTCCCCTCTGGCGTGTGTGAGTGCTTATGCAGGTACACGGTGTTTAAGCAGTATATACATGTGTCTGTGTAAATGTGTGTAATGTGAGTGTGTGATGTGTGTAGGTACAGGCCAAATGGTCACCCGCCGAGGGTGGCACGGGCCCCGCCACCCCAGGACCAGACGTTCACGATCGCTTTTTTTTTTTTGTTAATTCAGCAATTTTCCGATCTCGCCCCATTTCTGTTCAAACATACATAGCTTATTATGAGACTTGGCGATGCAGTATTCTTTCAAAACTTCAAATTTTAGACAGTTAACTTAGGGACCCTCCCACCTTCAAAAAAGTTAATGAATTGGCATGAAAGTGATGTCGCTCGGTTCAGAAAGAGCAAAAACGAATATCTACCAAATTTCATCGAAAAATATTCACCGGTTTTCAAGATATTAGACTTTTACTTTTGTTTACTTTTTGGGATCTCCGCTGTTCCTAGCGACTTTATTTGAAAGTGCGGCATTTGTTGCGCGCAAAGCAGCATATACCACCGCGTGCTACAAAACGTTTTAGTCAAACATTTAACCGACGTTCGAAAGCCTGATGACGTCATCAGATTCCCGTAATGGTTAAGAGATAGGGACCACGCTGGTCCCACCCTGCAAGTAAAGGGAAGCAATTTCTTGAACACCATAAAGCTGCGGGGGTTGCGACCAGGATAAATGGTGGTTTCTGAGCCTGGCCGCAAACTTGGCTATCTCAACTCAAAACTAATGTTAAGGTGGGAGGGTCCCTTTAAGCATAACTTCCAACGACGGTTTCCGGGAGTTAGTTTTTGCCTTATTTATACATAATTTGCTGAGCGTCACTGGTTATGGTTACTTCTAAATCTGTAAGATCATTCAGCATAAACCATTTCAGACGGTCGATATTGATTGAGGTATTGTATTCCTGTTTTATATGTGAAAGTATTTCTTTTATGAATATTTGTGTAACAGAGCAATGCCAGAAGAGATGAATGATTGTTTCGGTATCAATCTCACAGAAACTGCACTTAAAGTTATCGCGGATGCCAATGTTATACAAATATTTGTTAGTCGCGTATATTCTATTGACTATTCGAAAATGAAGATAGATGAGGGTTGTCGATATAGTCGACTTGTTTAGTGCCTGCAAACTTCCCTCCGTAAAAGCACCAATTTCACCTATCCATTTTGCTTTAAGACGTTCATTGGCAGCATTATTCTTCTTGGCCTTTTGTTTAACAAAAACATTATAAGCACACTTTGAAAACATTTTCCGATTTTGAGCTAACTTAATCTTATATGGTATGTTTGGTTTCTGTATGAATGTTTTGTCGACTCGCAATTGGATTTCCGACGGAATACTGCGTACCAGTGATGTATAACATAAGAATGTCATTCGTATTCCGTACACATCTTTTATTTCTTCTTTTGAGTATATTTTTCCTGTGTTCGCATTATATAAATCGCTAATAACGCTAATCGCTAATCACGCACCGTCAGACGAGTCCGTCTGACGGTGCGTGATTGTGTGTGTCCCCATCTGATGGTGTTTGTCCCCGTCTGACGGTGTTTGTGTCCCCATCTGACGGTGTTTGTCCCCATCTGACGGTGTTCGTCCACGTCTGACGGTGTTTGTGTCCCCGTCTAGTGTTTGTGTCCCCGTGTTTGTGACGGTGTTTGTCCCCATCTGACTGTGTTTGTCCCCGTCTGACGGTGTTTGTGTCCCTGTCTGTGTGTGTCCCCATCTGACGGTGTTTGTCCCCGTCTGACGGTGTTTGTGTCCCCGTCTGACCGTGTTTGTCCCCGTCTGACGGTGTTTGTCCCCGTCTGGTGTTTGTGTCCCCGCGTTGGTGACGGTGTTTGTGTCCCCGTCTGACGGTGTGCTCTGGCGCGGCTCCCACAGCGGTGATGCTGCGCGCCCGCTCCCTGCTGCTGCTGCGGTTGGCGGCGCCGGCGGCCGGCTGCGGTCCGGCTGCGCGGCTGGTGCCGGCGCGCCTGTTTGCGGCCGCGCCGCCGCCGCCGGCCGCCACGGCAGCCGCCGTCTCCGCCGAGCCGTTCATCAACGGCTCCAACTCGAGCTACGTGGAGGAGATGTACGTCCAGTGGCTGCGGGATCCCAGCTCCGTCCACGCCGTGAGTACCGGAGCCTAACCCTGTAACACACAGACACACAGACAGACAGACAGACAGACAGACGGGATTCGAGCTTCGCGCGCGCCGCGAGTAGCAGAGCCTACCACCTGGCACAGGCAAACAGACAGAGAGACGGAGAGACAGAGCCGAGACGGAGCCTCCTCTGACGGGAGTCGAGACCGGGCCCGCCTCCGCAGCCGAGTGCGGTGCGCGGCGCGCTGCAGCTCTGTCAGACCTCAGGCCGGCAGTGTCCGCTCAGAGTGGCGTCCAGTGAGCTCCGGTGGGAGATGTGCGGACCGCTGCGCTGAGCTGTGGCGGCCGGCTGGAGCCGCCTCTCCAGACGAGGCTGGCGCCTCTGGCCGGAGACGGGGCCGAACCCTCTCTTGGAGGTGAAGCATGGAAACTTGAATTTTTGCGAGATGCCAAAAGGTGCGTGCATCTTCGCTGCGGACCAATCCGTCTGAATCACATCAGGTGATTGAAACTGAATGGACCTACGTAGCTCGCTAGTGGTTATTTTACGCCTTGTGTAGGGCTTCCAGGTGATTCCACGGTGGACTGTGGTGACCTTTGACCTATTATTGGTCACCTCTGGTCACTTGTCATTTGCGGTCGGTATGGTGGACTGACTTTGACCTCTGGCGACCTGGCTTTGGTGACCTGTACGGTGACCTGCCGTCGGTGATCTGTGGTGGCCTGTCATTGGTGACCCGTTCACACTGACCTCCAGTGACCTGCCCCGTTGACCCGCCCCGTTGACCCGCCCGGCCCGTTCAGTCCACTCGTTCTCCCCCATTCGCCGTGCTGAAGACAGGTGGACGGTGCGCCGGGCCGCGGGCACGCGCCGTGTTCTGGCCCCCTGCCAACAGCTGGGCCGACGCTGACCCAGCTATGGCCTCCCCCTCCCCCCCACGGCGGGGGGTGATTGATCGGGGTTCGAGCGGCCGCCGCCGAATCGAACGGTGTAAAAGGACGGCAGATAATGAGCCCACACTCGACACGATACGCCAGCGGCCCAGGTGTCTGAGCTAGGTCTGGACAGGCCGGCTGTCAAATACGGCTTCCAGGCAGACGTAAATGGTCACCTGCTCACCCGGCTGATCACAGAGCCGCCGCCACTGTTGTTGTTTTGGTTCTGATTGTTCTGTGCGCTGCCCGAGCGGAGGTGGGTGGCGGGTGAACTCCGGTGTACGCTGCCGAGGTACTGTGCTAGCAGTGATACCGCGGCCCATGGTGCCGAGAGGGACAGGGCCTGAGACACTGTCCGCAGTGGACGGACCTCCGTCTGACCGCCCCGGTGACATGTCCTGGAGGTCGCGCCTGTTGCCCCTGGGGGCCGCCAGCGCAGCGCTCCGCGGGGCCGCGGCACGTGACGTCACCGGCGCGTGACGCGGCGCCGCGGCCGTCACGTGGCCGGCCTTCCGAGCGAGGTCGGCTCGAGCTGGGACGACTGTCCGGCCGGCCGGCGGACCAGGGCGGCCCGCGGAGCTCCCTACCACCAGCCACAGGTCCGCCGGCTGCAGAGGTCGGCGCTCCCGTGTGGAAGCCGGCCGTACGGCTGCTCAGCGGGCGGCGGCTGAGGCCGCTCCGGTCTTCAGTTCCCGCGGGGGAGTTTCTGCGCCCGGCGGGTGCGGCCGAGGGCGGAGGCCGCTCCGGTCTCCAGTTCCCGGGGAGTTTCTGCGCCCGGCGGGTGCGGCCGGCGCTGGTTCAGTCACTAACTGAGGCCAGCGACACAGCCGGTATCGGATGCGGTTTGCGCGCCGGCCGCCAGTTATGTATGAGATGCGGCTGCGGGCACGGTGAGACACGACCCAGTGACACGGGAACCCAAGGCTATATGGAGAACTCCCGGGAACCGCTGAACTGGACGACTCGCTGCGAGAGGACGGACCTGAACGTCCAACTGCGACTGATTGCTGGCCGAGAGTGAGCGGAGGTTCTGTTTGATGATTACGTGTGGCGGATAAACCTTAACCCTCGCATGTGTGCGGCGTTTGCCAGCTTCTAATGTGTAGGGGGGGGGGGGGGTCGGTTGGACCCCCCCCCCTTGCCGTTTGGCCCCTGATCGAGCTAGAGCTTCGCGGAAAAAACGAGCGTGTTGCCCGTGACGAGAGGAAGCCGATGATACCCAATTTTAAGGTCCTAGGTCATTGGTTGACCTTCCAGGTCAGGTCAATGACCCAAAGTCGGGAAAATCGGGACCTGTTAGAAAGTCGTAAAGTGTGGCTGCTAAGGGGTTTTTCGGGGTGCTGATCACGAATATCGTGTTAGTTTTGATCACAGATGATGTCTTGAAGCATTTAGACCAGGTCGGGTCAGGTCAGGTCAGGTCAACCAGTAGGCGTCGTGACGGGTATTCGTAGTACGTGTCAACCGCCTCTGACAGCTTCGTAACATGTTACGAAGTCACCAAAACTACTTCGTAAATGTTCAAATGGTTGCTAAATTCGAATTCAGCTCCAAAAAACTAGCCTAGAAACATGTAAAACTCGAAAAAGTGACCCGAGGTCACCCGAGGTCACCAAAGGTCAATGACCTGACCTGACCTTCAGGTGACCTTGACACACACGGGAGTAACATCAAATCACATGTTTGAACGTTTGAAACCACGAAAAGCTTGCAAACACGCGGCTAGTGCGAGCCGACATACGCGAAATCGCGATTCCGGCCAAACATGGTCTCGGAAAAGAGGTCACAGGTCAAAGGTCATTTGGGTTAGGGTCATGAAATTTTCAGGGTAGGTGTAAAATTGATCAATGCGAGGGTACTGAAAGTTTCGTCGCGATCGGCCGCTTTTTACGCGAGTTATTCGCGAAAAACCATGGGGGGTCCATCCGACCCCCCCCCCCCCCCTACACATGCGAGGGTTAAATTCCAATGCTGGCACTTGACAGATGCGGTCGCCTGGAGTAAAGCATGCGTGCTTTTCACTTGCAAAGTATCTCTAAAGTGTGCTGTTTCTCGCCGTTTTCCCCAGGCCTTCCTGAGGCGCTGACTATTGGCACTCTGACGTGAGCTGCTACAGAACAGACACGACAAAGGTTTGAGAGTGGATCTGTAGCGTTATTTGCAAAGAGCCTGTGCGAAGCCTAGCGAGTCTGACAGCACTCATCAGCCGTATTGTCCAATTTAAAATGGAATGTCTGCCTCATATCCCCCATTTAAAGTATGTGTCGCCGAATTCCACTGAGCCATATCTGCAGATAGATGGCTGGTGCTATTCGGTACCTGCGTTAGAGCCCGTACCGCGGGCTCCGATGGTCGACCATCGCCAGTAGTGCGGCAATCAGCCGTGCTTTAACTGCACGTAACCGGGCGGGACACCATTCTGCGAGCTGATCCGATACCAGGCCGTTATCGGCGTGTTGGACTGGCTACTGGAGCACCCCTGTGGTATCGGGCTGTGTGTCTACCGATAGTGTAATTCTCGAGTGGTTTTAATAACGTCCGATGGTGACGCGGCACTGGCTGTTGGCAGGTCCGTGGTCCTGTCTGTCTATCAAGTGTCTGTAACCCGTGGCCCCTGTCCGCTCCTCCCCTTCCTCGGGGAGGGGGGGGGGGGCTGCTGCCGTCCGACTCTTCTCTGGGCCGCCCGCTGTCCCTTCTTTGCAGCTGTCAGTGGTCAGTTTGACAGTCAGTTTCACTTGGTGAAAACTGTTCACTTGGTGAAACTGGCGATTGAAAGAGAGAGCCCAGAAAGAAAAAAGTTCCACACAGGATCCATTAAGGTTCAGTCGAAGAAATGACCGGCTTTGGACATTTATCCTCCAAAGCCGTCGCTCTGGAGCTGCCACTGCGCCCTCCGCCCAACTCCGCCAGTGTGCAGGACAGACTATTCCGAGAATGAATACACTAGTGATGTCAATTACGGAAAATCGGAATGCCGATACCAAACCAAATACCAACCAAAACCACGGGAAAATACCGAAACCAAACCAACTTGGGGAACTGAGGGAAATACCAACTTTTTACCGATTTCTTAGCCTCTTATACATTAGTGAGGGCTTATGATACCAACAAAATACCAAACACATTACGATTGAAATACCAAATACCAAGTTGGTATCGGTTTGGTATCGGTATACCAAAATGTTGGTATCCGATTAACATCTCTAGAATACACCTCAGAGGGTGCCCCGGTGTTTATTGGTTGCCAAGGCGACGAGCACCCATTGCGGAGAGGGCCCCTTGCTGCTGAAAAGTGGCGCTAAACTAGTCGATTCCGTATGATTCCGGGCGTCGAAAATTATGCAATGAATTAATAACCGTTCTGTGTTCACCGATATTTGGCGCATTTCACCGCATATATAACGGTGGGCTATCCACACCCGTGCACCGCGGCGGCGGCCGTGCTGGGGCGGAAAATCACCGCCCGTGCCCCGTTCCCCGGCCCGCGGGCCGTGCCCCGCCGCCCCCCTCCCCTCCGCGGACCGTCCGCCGCGGTGTCGCCCTGTTCCATCTGTCAGCCGGCCTGCTCACCGATACCCGCTGCAGCAGCGGGCCAACATCCCATCCCAGGTTTGTTGGTTGGATCGCGCAAACGGCCGGCTTCAAACCTTTTTTGGTGGGTTGATGTTTGAATATAGACAAGGAAAGTAGGTCAGTTGTCTGTCCATTGCAGTTGTTGTTGACGGCCAGGCGCGTTTTTCCTCCCTGCGGCGCTGACCAGTGCCCGGCCTGCGCCAGTGCACTAGTGTTGGTAGATCAGAACGGTCATTGAAGCGTCACAGACAAGACGAGCTTTGAGATCTGTCGAGTGTACCTATTATCCGTGTGCACACTCTGGCCACCACGCCCCGTACTGCGGGACCTTGAACTTGCCGACCGGGCTCTGACGCGGGCCCCACCTCCCCACCGCGTCCCGTACCGCGGGACCTTGAACTTGCCGACGGGGCTCTGACACCGCGGGCCCCACCTCCCCACCACGCCCCGTACCGCGGGACCTTGAACTTGCCGACGGGGCTCTGACGCGGGCTCCACCTCCACCGCCCCCGTGCATC